GTATAATAAAGTTTGCATAGGTCTCAGAGGATCAAAAAGCCATACACCTTGGATCCACTTCTCACAGGTCAAAAGGACTTCAGATAAGTATGTCCTATATTATCCCACCTGTCTGTACCTGAGGATGGGATTTTCTGCCCTGGTCTTGGGACTCCCACCCTGCCTGGTCACTAAAGCTCTGGTTTAAAGAGTTCCAATTACAAACATAAGTTTTAACTTATGTTCCCAGTTTAAACATGTCTTAGACAGGTATCTGGCCCTGGTAGACACATCTGAACATCAGTTGCTGATCACAGCCTGCTCCTAAAGTACACAAGTCCTGGACTTGATGTCGACTTGAACCAGTCCAGCCAATGTGGACACCACCAGTCTCTTCAACAGAGTCTGGCAATCAGCGGCTCCTGATAGATACCCAATTGCCTGAATTCCCTTACTGCTTTTGACTAGCATTTCAGCCTTCTTGGGTCCCTAACTGCATCCCAAAGTCAGCTGGAATTAGCATGGAAAAGAACATGTCATCCTTTCCCTGGTTAACATGCCAATTTAAAAGGAAACTCCCTTACATAGGGGACAAGATGATAACAGAGGCAATTGTCACTCCCTTAAAAAAGTTTTTTCCACTAACGACAGGGCCTGTTAACACCCCTTTGAGGCCCTCACAGGCTGGACTCAGCATTTAGTCCTGTCATGGGTACTTCGAGAAGGCAGGGGGGGGGGGTGTAGTGACCAGCCTCTCTGTTTTAACAGCCATGACAGGCTACCCTGTGCTTGAATGATATTACCATTCCTGTCCTGGTCACTAGGAGGTCAGATGCCCTCTTTGTGACAGGGAACCAATAAGAAGTTAGCTGGCGGGGCTGTGCTTTACAGCTCTGGGCGTGCTTTAAGGACAGTGCACAACAGTGAAACACAGAGCACAGAAACTGCCCTGGGAGGGCCTTGAGGTTGCTTGGGGTCTTTCTCCAGCCATCAGCCAATGTAGATGGATGAAGGGCCCAGGCTAATGGGTTTATCTAGTTAAATAACTTCAATAAAAGTCTCTTTGCTTTTTGCATCACATGTAAAGTGACCAAACACAAAGGAAACCACATGTGGCTGACAAGCTGTGCATTAATTTCAAGCCTCATGTGGCAAAAATATGTTTTTCTATAGAAGCATGTAAACAAATGAATATAGCCAGTTGTAATAAAAAATCTGAAGTCAACTCCTATGTACTACACCTGGGAGCAGTATGAAAACATGATGTGAGAACAATTCTGTGTTTTTTGAAGAAATTGAGGTCATAAGACTCTTGTCTTGGTTATCTGGTGTTTTCTCCCAGGCCCTCAGAAATCTCCTCACAGGACTCCATTCTTTAACTGTGTTCATACAAAGAACACATCTGTTTTACCCATATGCTATGACCACAGCCTGTAGTGTTTCCAGCAATAGGGACTTACCGTCAAGTTTTGGTGCACCATCAAGATCAATGGCAATAGTCTTTGTGCAGGTTTGAATGAAATGACCCCCATAGGACCATAGGGAGTGGTACTTTGGGAGATGTGGTTTTGTTGGAGAAGGTATGGCCTTGTTGAAGTGTGTCACTGGGAGTGGGCTTTGGGGTTTCAGAAGCCCAAGGTAGGCCCAGTGGTCCTCTCTCTTCCTGCTACCTGTGAACCCAGAAGTAGAACTTCCAGCTACCTCCCCTCATCATGTCTGCCTCTATGTCACCATGCTTCACTCCATGATGATCATGGACTAAAACTCTGAACTATTAACCAGACTAGTGGAATGCTTTTCTTTATAAGAGCTGCCCTGGTGTCTTAGTTAGGGTTTCTATTGTTGTGAAGAGATAAGATGTCCATGACAAATCTTATAAATGAGAATTTTACTTGGTGTGGCTCACTTACTGTTCAGAGGTTCAGTTCATTATCATCATGGTAGAGAGAATGGGGGCATTCTGCCTGACATGGGGGTGGCTGCAATTTGATCAGAAGGCAACAGGAAGTGAACTGAGACACTGAGTAGTATCCTGAACACAGGAAAGCTCAAAGCCTGCCCCATAGAGACACATTTCCAACAAGGCCATACACACTCCAACAGAGTCACACCTCCTAATAGTGCCACTCCTCACAAGATTATAGAGGCAAATTACATTCAAACTATTAGACATGATCATGGTGTCTCTTCACAGAAATAAAACCCTAGCTTAGACAGTAATTGCTGTCAGAGTAGTGTATTGTTGGGTTTGGATGGCCACACTTTTTTGAGGATTGTGGACTTTGTACTAGAAAAGCAGTTGAATACTTTAATGGGCCTTACCAGTAGGAGTATGGAAGATAGCAGTGCTGATTGTGATTTGAACTGTGAGGGCCTGACTCAGGAGGTTTCAGAGGAGAAGAATTTTAGTATGTGGACTAGAGACTGTTCTTCTGATATTTTAGCACTCTTGAAGCACAGGCAGGTGGATCTCTGAGTTCAAGGACAACATGGTCTACAGCCTGAATTCCAGGACTGCCAATCTTAGACTGTGAAGGAAAGCATAAAAACCAGAAAGCTGGTGAAAATGTATTTGAACGAGGGGGCAATGTTCCATCTTCAGGAAGCAGTAGAACTTTTAGCTTACCACAGTGGTTCTGGATTTAGAAAGGTGGTTCTAAACATTCCTAATGCTGCCACCATTTAATATAATTGCTCATGCTGTGATGGCTCACAACCAAAATGTTACATGCATTGCTGCTTCATAGTTGTAATTTTGCTACTATTATGGATTGTAATGTAAATATCCTATGGTCTTAGGACACTACGTATGAATGGATTTTTCAATACCACTGTAAAAGGGGTCATGACCCACAGATAGAGAAATACGGCTTTAGCCCCAATGATATAAGAAAGCTATTGAGGCCAGGTATGTGGCAGAGGTGTTTGTTCGTGGAGGTTCAAAGAGGCCAATGCATGAAGCTGAATAAATAAATAAATAAATAAATATTTTTATTAATTCTTTGAGAATTCCACAGAATATATTCTGATACTATTTACCCCATACTCATCCCATTAACTCCTTCCAGATCTACCCTCAGCTCCCTAACCCTAGATTTATGTCCTTATTCTTAAAAAGACAAGAACCCACTGACTCTCATTTAAGATGCCCATATACTGCTGGGTTTGGGGTCACAAACTAATAAACTGACCAGGGGCTGCACCCTTAAAGAAAACTCGCTCCTTCTGCAGCAGTCATCAACTATTCACAGCTCCTCATCTATGGGTTAGGGCACGTGAGCGTCTCACCCATCTATTCTGGAATGCTGACAGACTCGATATTATACAGGTCTTACATGAGCAGTCACAGATGCTGTGAGTTCAAGGGTGCAGCAATCTGCTCATGTCCAGTAGAAACTGTCAGAAACTTGAAGCTACAGATACTGACAGAGATTAGGCTGGCTGAATAGTGAAGCAAATGTTCAGCTAAACTCACTGAGAACCACACACAACTGTGAGTTTCAACACAGAATTGACACCTCACTATATCATTTGGTGCTAGTGCAGGTGAATTTAAAAGTATTTCTAGTTTTTTCTAATTCCAGGATTTTAGTCAGGTTTGGCCAGATTTTGAGCTTTCAGCCCTAAGCGAGGGTCATGCTTTGGGTAAAGAGGTCAATTTCTCTTAGTAATGAATAATACATGTCTGTCTATGCCCAAGTATTGCCACCTGTAACCTGATTTCCAGAGTAGACAGCCAGCAATAGTCCCAATGAACCCATGAGAAGGACAGTACATGGTCAGACTCAGGATGCAACAGTGGCCCCCACTTTGCCTGCTGTAAAAGACTATCTGACTTCCCACAACCTCCAAATGGCACCCACAGGGTCCTCATGCTCATGAGTCAAATCACATGGGAGGTTGTCTGAATGCAAAAACACAGTGGGACTACCGTAAAACATCCTCATGCCTGGAGCTTCAATTTCTGTCTCCAAGGAGAGAGCCAGGCTAATTCAGCCAAAGGTTTCAAGATTTTCACACTTAATGTCTGAGCCTTACAACACTTCCAGTCTACACAGAATGCACGGTAGCCCCATGACCAGGTTGGCCAGGAGTCCCCCTGTTTGGTTTCACCATCCCTTCATGAGAAACACTGGAAACCTGGTGTTTGAGAGACTGAAGTTGCAACGCAGGGGAAGCACAGACTTGACAAAGAGTCCCACGTCAGAGCAGGGCTATCATAGCCTGCCTACCACTGCATGACCTGCACACACATGGGGACAAAGTGAGTGGTACATTTCTGCACAGCTTGGTTATTCTTGCACACAGCTTTTTGAGGGAAAGTTCAGCTGATAATGGGACAAGGAAAAGCAGGTATTTCCAGGAGTCTCTGTACCTCACAAGGTGGGCTCTGCCTGCGACTCTATAGTGATTCATCCATGCTGTATGTATTTATTCATTATTCATCTATGTATTTTTGTGCTGTTCATTCTAAATCCCAGGGCCACAGGAATGCCAGGTAAGCACTAGCTAATAACCCACAACCAAACTCAAGCTAAAAGATTAATGATGCAGAGAGTTAGGTAGACAATAAGATAAGGTTAGTGTTGGAACCAGGTAGAAGGGGCAGAAGATGGTACCCCACAGGCTGAGTGCCAGCAATGAACCATGGTGCCTATGGAGAACCTGAGATGATGATGCAGAGTGTGAGTTCAGACATTTGAGCTGAGAAAGCAGCATTGTCAACTGTGTTCCTCCTCTCAAGGGTGATGGTACCTGTGGGAAGATGGAGGAATGACAGGAGAGAAATGTAATAGATCCTCACGGAAATAACCCTAAGCCACTGCTAGCTGCTTTCCCAAAGCTAAGTGCTTCCAAGGATGTTTGCATCTAGGTTGGTAAAGAAAAAGGATAGGTCAGGCTGGGAGAGAACTGAGGTCTGGATGACCTGTGATTCTCAGAATAAGGTAGGTGAGGCCTCTGTGACCTCACAGGATAGAACCCTGCCCTAGTGATGCCTGTGGTCTTACCTGAGGACAAGCCAGAGTCCAGAAGAAGGGCTTGAGTCACAGCAAGTGCATGTGACTGGGTAGGTTTTGGGCTGTTTTCTGTGATGGAACCTACCTGAAATTAATCAGGTGAGTGACTCACTCACTTTGAGGCACTTCTTTATTCAGACCTTAAATGGGGACACTGAAATATAGCGAGGTACTTGAAATGTCCCACCCTGAGGACAGCTCATCCTAAGAAGAACTAAAAGTCAGAAGTCTCATAGCATTGGGACTGGCCCCTCAAGAGCACATGGAGAGGAACCCCTCCACTCACAGAGGGAGATACCTTGGGATGAAGCCACACCTGTGGATCTGGACCAGGACTCCAACCTCTGACTTGGTGAGAAGGAAGGAGGGTTCCAGTTTGTAAATTCACATTTGATCATCACACGTATGTTGTTCGGGGAGTGTGGGCAAAGCATCCCAGGCAGTGATGTCTGATCTTCCCTGAGAACTCTATTTCCTGGTGGCAGCAATGTTTTCATTTGTACTAAGATAGACAGCTGCCATAATATGGGGATAGACACCAATGTCACTATTACAGGAAGCACCATGGCAGTACTCCCCTTTATAAATCTGTGCTTATACACGTTTTCGCTTGGATGTATTTAGAGGAAGGTTTAGCCTCTGTGGATGGAGAAATATACACAGGATTCCTGGGATGAAGGCCCAATTGAACCTCACTGTGCTATAGTGGGAGGCAGGGATGAAGAAGGATATGAGGCAAAATATGGTCCTTCATTAGGACCTGTACTATAGCTGTAGAAAAAAGCTGCAGTAAGTATCTGTAGATGTGTGACAAAGAACTAGTTTAACAAGGACTCAGGAAGACAACACCCACAACTCACTGAAGAATGAGGCCTTGGGATATCCATACCCAGCCTGTATCACATGAGAAGACTTGAGGCTCAAGGCTGATACAGAATGAAGCTATGCTATTGTGCCTAAGCCAGGGACAACCATCAGCTATGGCATCCCACAGTGTCAGGGACGGTAGGGAAAGTGTCACAGTCATTACTGCAGAGGTCTGAAGGAACTTTGCTTCTTCACAGCATGATCCTTATCGTTTATAATTATGGGTTGTGACCAGCATGGCCGAAGTCAGGGCTACAATATGAAACACAACTACAGCCATCTCCCTAAGCTATCCACATTTAAATTTAAATTGTATTGTAAAATTTAATGAAGAGAGGCCTCTGAAGAAAGTGTCAACTCAGTGCATAGTCTATGACTTAAGGCTTGAGCCTCCAGAATGCTAAAGATAACTACTTGCACCACCCACCTGTTAGTGACATCCCCACCGGGAGCACGTGCTTCACAGGTAGGAATGAACCTTCCTGGACATCTTTATATTCAGCTTGTAGACCCTTCCCAGATTAGCCACAAACACTGATGTCATACTCCCTCCATCTTATTTTCAAACTTAAACTTTTACTTATGAAACGTGTTAATATATTTGTGGTTGAATCTGTTTGTATATCTGAGGGAATTTTGTCAATTTTCTGGTAAATCCTCCTGCAAAAATTATTTAAAGGTGGTGATGGGAGAGGTTGCACACCAACATTTTCCATCAGCTTGATACCCAAAATCCTGCAGATGGCACACTTAAAATCTCATGACAAGAGAAATTTGTTGATAAACTGAGCAGCAGAAATGAGACACCAAGAGGTGAACTGTGCACCTTAGGGCTGAATATGACCCTTCCCCACTGAATATGCTGGTTCCAGGGGTGACGTTCCCTGGAGGAGAAGGACGGGATATGAGCTCGTAACCGAAAAATGATCTTAAGGGAAGCCTTCAGGTACTTCCCTTAAGTACCAGCCCAAAAGATATCTGTGGGCATGGACAGCCTTTGAGATTTCACAGACAGAGAGAGGCCTGGCCTCTGTGACCTCACATGTGGGTCACTGTCATGGTTACAGTTGTGACCTAGTTCTGAGGGCAGCAGAGCCCATTATAGTGGACCAGGATTTAGCTCAAGAAAAGGTAGTCAGGGATCTATTTCAGGTAAATGATTGCAGAAAATTCTATGGGTGAAGAAGTGATCTCACCCCAGTGTACTTGGAAGGGGCCTCTCTTGGGAGGGGTGACAAATGCAGATTAGGTGACTGAGGGGTTTTTGATGGACAAGACAGATATGACCTTGAGAAGGGTTGCAACAACAAAGATCAGAGAAATACCCTGACTGTACACAGCTATATATGACATACAGAGAGAAGATGCCATCCCCACACAGCAAAGAGATCTTGTGACGATCTGTAGAGCCCCCAATGCTTAGGAAGGCATCCTCTAGATTCTGGGGGGTCTAATCTCTGCTGTTTCTTATAACTGTGATATTCCATCAAGGGTTCAGACCACAGAAGGGAAATATACCATAGGGTCTTGGTGGGACTGTCACGTGTGTATCTCAAAGCCTAAAAGCAACAGTCTTTCCAAATTAGGTCATGTATATCCACTCCACCATAGACAGTCAGCTGTGCAAGAGGAAGGTTTTATCAATCAGCTTTCTCTCCTAAATATTTCATCCTTGTATAATGTATAATTATTTCATGTGAACTGTGGGCTATTTGTGTCTGTATCTGTGCATGTTTCTCAGAGGACAGGTAAGTGATGTTGTAAGAACATTTAAAATGCTAGTATTGTCCACTATCAATGTCTACCAGACTTTTCTTTTTTTTTTCAGAAATGTTGACAATAGACCAACTTGAAGATTTTGGCAAGCATGGGCTGAAAAGGATCCACTACCTCCACCCTAAACATAAACAGGTACCCTGACCTTAAAAATGCCAGGACCCCAATCAGAATACAAGGGGACCCATGGAAAACCCTGACCCTAAAGAAGACCTGACTGATTAAGAGAGGAAACCTGGGCCTGGGCCAATCAACTGAAAGAGGCCTGGGCCAGAACAAGAATATGAGTGTGCCCAGGCCATTCCTGACACTGAAAAGGCCCTTGCCCAAAGACAGAAGAAATGTCTGCCTGGGCCAACCCTGAACCTAAAGAAGCCTGAGTCCAATTATGCAGAGAATTAGGCCTGGGCCAATCAAATGAAAGAGGCCTGGGCCAGAACAAGAAAATGAGTGTGCCCAGGCCAATCTTGACCCTGAAAAGGCCCGAGCCCAAAGCAAGAAGACATGTGGGCCTGGGCCAACCGTGACCCAAAAGAGGTCTGGGCCCAATTATTTAGAGAAGTAGGCCTGGGCCAATCAAATGATAGAGGCCTGGGCCAGAACAAGAAAATGAGTGTGCCCAGGCCATTCCTGACCCTGAAAAGGCCCGGGCCCAAAGCAAGAAGAGATGTGGGCCTGGGCCTACCCCTTACCCAAAAGAGGTCTGGGCCCAATTATTTAGAGAAGTAGGCCTGGGCCAATCAAATGATAGAGGCCTGGGCCAGAACAAGAAAATGAGTGTGCCCAGGCCATTCCTGACCCTGAAAGGGCCCGGGCCCAAAGCAAGAAGAGATGTGGGCCTGGGCCAACCCTGTCCCTAAAGTAGCCTGGGCCTATGATGCAGAGAATTAGGCCTGGGCCAATCAAATGAAAGAGGCCTGGGCCAGAACAAGAAAATGAATGTGCCCAGGCCATTCCACCCTGAAAGGCCCAGGCCCAAAGCAAGAAGAGATGTGGGCCTGGGCCTACCCCTTACCCAAAAGAGGTCTGGGCCCAATTATTTAGAGAAGTAGGCCTGGGCCAATCAAATGATAGAGGCCTGGGCCAGAACAAGAAAATGAGTGTGCCCAGGCAATTCCTGACACTGAAAAGGCCCGGGCCCAAAGCAAGAAGAGATGTGGGCCTGGGCCAACCCTGTCCCTAAAGTAGCCTGGGCCCAATGATGCAGAGAATTAGGCCTGGGCCAATCAAATGAAAGAGGCCTGGGCCAGAACAAGAAAATGAGTGTGCCCAGGCCATTCCACCCTGAAAAGGCCCGGGCCCAAAGCAAGAAGAGATGTGGGCCTGGGCCTACCCCTTACCCAAAAGAGGTCTGGGCCCAATTATTTAGAGAAGTAGGCCTGGGCCAATCAAATGATAGAGGCCTGGGCCAGAACAAGAAAATGAGTGTGCCCAGGCCATTCCTGACCCTGAAAAGGCCCGGGCCCAAAGCAAGAAGAGATGTGGGCCTGGGCCAACCCTATCCCTAAAGAAGCCTGGGCCCAATAATGCAGAGAATTTAGGCCTGGGCCAATAAATGGAAAGAGGCCTGGGCCAGAACAAGAAAATGAGTGTGCCCAGGCCAATCTTGACCCTGAAAAGGCCCGGGCCCAAAGCAAGAAGATATGTGGGCCTGGGCCAACCCTGTCCCTAAAGAAGCCTGGGCCCAATAATGCAGAGAATTTAGGCCTGGGCCAATAAAATGATAGAGGCCTGGGCCAGAACAAGAAAATGAGTGTGCCCAGGCAATTCCTGACACTGAAAGGCCCGGGCCCAAAGCAAGAAGATATGTGGGCCTGGGCCAACCCTGACCCTAAAGAAGCCTGGGCTTAATTATCCAGAAAATTAGGCCTAGGGCCAATCAAATGAAAGAGGCCTGGGCCAGAACAAGAAAATGAGTGTGCCCAGGCCAATCTTGACCCTGAAAAGGCCCGGGCCCAAAGCAAGAAGAGATGTGGGCCTGGGCCAACCCTATCCCTAAAGAAGCCTGGGCCCAATAATGCAGAGAATTTAGGCCTGGGCCAATAAATGGAAAGAGGCCTGGGCCAGAACAAGAAAATGAGTGTGCCCAGGCCAATCCTGACCCTGAAAAGGCCCGGGCCCAAAGCAAGAAGAGATGTGGGCCTGGGCCTACCCCTTACCCAAAAGAGGTCTGGGCCCAATTATTTAGAGAAGTAGGCCTGGGCCAATCAAATGATAGAGGCCTGGGCCAGAACAAGAAAATGAGTGTGCCCAGGCCATTCCTGACCCTGAAAAGGCCAGGGCCCAAAGCAAGAAGAGATGTGGGCCTGGGCCAACCCTGACCCTAAAGAAGCCTGGGCCCAATGATGCAGAGAATTAGCCCTAGGGCCAATCAAATGAAAGAGGCCTGGGCCAGAACAAGAAAATGAGTGTGCCCAGGCCAATCTTGACCCTGAAAAGGCCAGGGCCCAAAGCAAGAAGAGATGTGGGCCTGGGCCAACCGTGACCCAAAAGAGGTCTGGGCCCAATTATTTAGAGAAGTAGGCCTGGGCCAATCAAATGATAGAGGCCTGGGCCAGAACAAGAAAATGAGTGTGCCCAGGCCAATTCTGACCCTGAGAAGGCCGGGGCCCAAAGTAAGAAGATATATGGGCCTGGGCCAATTCCTGAAGCAGAAGAACCCAGTTTGAAAATAAGGAGAGACTTGGGCTTCTGGGAATCCCTGACTGTAAGGAAGCCTCAGCCCAAAAAACAGATAAGATATGGGTCTGAGCCAATCAAATGAAAGAGGCCAGTGCCCAACTAGAAAAATGAGTATTCCCAGTACTAAATTGAGAAGAGATGTGGGCTTGGGCAAATCCCTGACCCTACAAAACCTGGGACCAAAAATTGTAGGTTTCTGGGCCTCTGACAATTCCTCTAATGAACCCATCCAGGGCCAAAACAAGGAAATGAGTATTCCCCAGGCTCATTCTGACCCTGAAGAATCCCAGTCCCAAAATGAGAAGAGATGAGGACTTGGGCCTTCCCTGAACCAAAAGAACTCTTTTAGAAACCAAGAGAGAATTTCAGACCCTAAGTAAGTCTAGGACCCAAAGGAGAAAATATGGGGGACTGAAGCCCATGCCCACAGCAAACAGAGATGTGGCCCTGGGCAGGCCTTGAACCTAGGCAAAAAGGAAGAAGAGATGTGAGGCCTGGGTAGTCCCTCAAAAGGAACAGACCTGGGCCAAACCCTGACACGGAGGAAGTTTGGGCACAAATAATTCTCTCCCAAAGAGGCCTGAACCCAACCAAATAAGTTTGCCCAGGGCAACACTAAAGTGAAACAACACTGTTTAACAGTTTGTACCATGCGGTTCTCTAAATAAGGCCTTAAGATCAGTTCTTGTTTTATAACCAACAAGATATCAGTGCACACACATCCCAGCTTTTCACTGATAATCTTGGACTAACCCTCTATACTTCCTATACTGTTTGATATACGCTGACATTCTGAGTACCAGAAGTGTGGCTTTTACACACACTTCATTCAATTCAGACATCCTCAACAAGCTAACAAGGATGACAACATTGCCATAAAGTGCCAAGGACTCACCTAAATAATCCAATAACTTGGATGCACCTTATCAAATAGGGTGTGACACTGCACCCTGAACCATATCTTGACTGACTTTTTATTCTAAGAACAATAATTTCTCCTATGCAACTCTAGGCATAGCCTGCTCAAGAAGAATTTGGGGAAACCCAGAACTTGATCTGATTAACTGAAATCTGGATGTATTATCCCCTCCAAGAAGGGGAACTTGATAATGACATGATTATTGACACAGGTTCAAGGTCATAAACAGACCTCAAAGGAAACCCAGCACCTCCTTGAACCCTAAGTAACCTGGACTATCATTAAATGGTGTGTGGACCACACCCTCTAGTCAACCCAGGGCAAGATCCCACCCCAAAGAGCCAGGCTTAAAGGGACAATACATTACGTTAACCACCATAGGAAATGGACATAACCATGACGCCGACCTGGTCTGAAGCCAGGCATTATGTCATGTCAATTTATTTTGTTGGACAAATCATTGCCTCATTTGTGACCTGGAACAAACATCACCTTAATGACCAAAAGAAATGGACATACTCATGAAGAAGTCCTGGTCTGAGGCCAGGCATTTTCACATGTCAATTAATTTTGTTGGACAAATCACAGCCTCATTTGTGACCGAATCCATGGCATTTCACTTAGAAATTTGTACTCAACCACAACCATTCTTGCACTGATGATTGACAACACATCATAGGACATGAACTCCTACAAGTGCTAATCTAGAATCTTCTTTGTAGTACCACTATAGTTTGTGGGATGTTCCTGCTATTCTTCCAACACAGGCAACAACCATTCTCACATCAGGTGTGTTAAGACATCATTGCTCTCTAATAATCTGGGCCACACATAAACATCAAATAACAATAACACAGATTGGGATCAAGAGTGTGTGGGCCGCACTCAGCAAATCCTCTGTGCCCAGCTCTTCCTGTATGAGGACTTTCAGAGAGCAAGGATAAAAAGCTGACTTCAAGTCTGACCTAGACCGCACCTACTGCTCCAAGAAGGTTGAACACACTTTACCACCATGAGATGGTTGTCTGAAAAATGACATACTGCCTGAGTACCTAATACTACCTGGATCTAGCTAAATTTAAGGGTATGTGGGCCGTACCCTCTCTCCATATGACCAGGAAGTACATTCACAGCAAGGGAGCACGGACTATGCAATGAGTTTAAATTGGATAAGGAACCACTCTCCTTAATATCAAGAAGAATTAGATGGCACAGGGACTTATTGTGATTCACTTGATCCCCAACCCCACCATTCCATTCATCAAAAATTTTGGATTCATAAATAAGGCTTCTGAAACTGATGACTGAAGGCCAATCAAAATGAGTGTGGGCTGGGGCTAACTTACCACCAAGAAGCCTGCGTCAAATTTAACTTTGAGAGTTGTAGTCCTCATTCTCTCTTCATCACACCCAGGAGATTTATCAATTTGGAGGACCCAGGACCCCAAGCCATGGCCTTCAGGATATCTGGGCCACACAAGAGAAACAATCTGGGCAGACACTGGCATGATGGGTGTGTGGGCCGCACCCAGAA